AACTTTTGCGATCATTTTGCCGACGTGTGCCGCTGTGGTCCAACCTATCCGGCGCCGACGACTCGTGGTCGCTGACGTCTCTCAAGCTTTCGACAATGTAGTCATTCATCATCTGAAAGCTACCCCGTCGGTCAACGCCACTCCCATTGCTCTCATCTTGTACTTGCACCAAACTGTCATTCATTTTCGTGATACTGTCTGCAGGCCTGCTTTCCCTTGTAGGGCTATCAATGGTAGAAAGAGTTCCATCTTCAGATCTCAAGGAACTCAGCCGATTCTTGTAGTCGACAAAACGACTTGAGAATGGAATCTCCTTTTCTTTCTTGGATGTGCGATTCTCAATGGTTGCAATTACAGGCTTGGTCGCCACAGGCTTTCCCGCATCCCTTTCAAATACATCTTCTTGCTTAGAGGAGGAGTCGCTGTTGTGATATGACACCGCAACTGTCACGTGGCCTCTTTGTGATTGGGTACGTTCGCTGCAGCTACTTTGGAGAAGATGTTGACTGTAGCTGGATGCGCTCCTAGACAGATCCGTTGCACTTGTTTCATTCGACGGGATTTCCTCTTTGGTCAGTGGTGGAACTTCAGAATCTGAGACACGCCCCTTTCCCCTGCTTCGCCTGCTTGAGCCATCCATTGGCTCTCCCGATACCGCGCTACCGTCATCCAGAAAATGGTTGCTTCCTTGGAATGGAACGGACGAGTCAGAGTCATTTCCAAGCAAATTATCCGACAGGAAGTCGCCGCCACAGAAAGGCACTGTCGATTCTGACTCGTCAAGCATCTTCTGTGCTGTAGACCTGGGGACCAGGTCGAGAAGCAACATTTGTGGCGTCACATCTTGTTCCTGTTAGCACAATGAAAGCAAACAGGAAGACTAGATCAGTTTCATGCTAAGAGAGAGGCACGAAAAGAAGAAAAAACCTGCTTGTACTCACTGGACACTTGATGGAAGTGATCGAATCAGCCAGATCTTCCAACAACGGCCTTGAAGCCAATACGTGTCTCGAGCTCGCAATGGACGCTGAACAGACTGATTCCGATTCCTCGATAATATCGGAAACTCGTTTCCGACTAAAATCTGTCTCCAAATTTGCGTTGCTCGATTCTTCGTCTTGAAATCTCTCCACGGGATGTACCGGCACCTCGAACGGCTTGCTGGCATTAAAGCTGTCACCCAAAGAAGATGCGCTGGCATTACCGCTGCCGTTGCCACTGCCGCTGATTCCAAGCTCTTTCGAAGCAACAATCGCCACCATTTCTTTCAGTGTCTTGTCATCTTGGCCCGCGAAGGAGTGTCTCTTGCTGTTTCTCATGCCTGCAAAAGGTTGCGATCTTCGCAAGCTGCCGCCAGTACGGCCACTGCCGTTGTAGCCGCTGTAGAACGAGCCGGTCTCGTGATGAGAGCTTGTGCCGGTGATGAACACTGATCCTCGCGCCCTTCCACCATTGAGAGAACCGGGGTTGCGTTTGTATTGAAATACCATCATAACCAGAGGCCCGAAGATAATGAGCATCATACTCATTGCAAGAACAACAATTAAGCCAACTTGAAGGAAGTAGCTTGCCACAATATCGTCAGGATCAACGAGATAAAGCGCTGGGAATCCGACAAGCAACACTTGCAGCCAACATCCCACGGCGAGACCAACAGATCGACTTTCTGCAAATTCCACACTGAAGCAAGTCAATGACAAGGTTAGGATGGACAAGGCGAGTTTCCCGCATAACTGCTCCTATAGTTGAACTCACCTAATATTCCGGGCTTGGTACGCTTGATAGCAAGCCATCAGCAGCGCTGCAACATTGACAGCTCCGATCGTATACATCAGAACGTAACCCACACCATCCGACCGACAGGCAGCATAGCTCTTCCATTCTTCTCCCTCTACAGCCAACCGTTCTGACCGCAAGGGATCGACAATGTTCCAAGCGATCAACAGAGCAGTATTCAAAGAAAAAAGCACTGCGAAGGGAAGCAACACATCCCGCTCCGTAACCTTCATACGGCGAAACGATGCCACGTTGAACAGTTGATTGATTCTCCAAAGTTTGGAATAAAGAGCCGAGAAGATGACGACAAGGCCCATTGACAGTAACCAAGGAGTTGCCATACACGCTGCGTCCGCACCCTTGTCGGAGAGAATCATGTCGTCAAGGCTGAGTGGAAGGATGGTAAAGGCCATTGTGAATACGCCACAGCAAATGGTCACCAGGAAGATTGGCTGCATCGTCTTTAGTATTGCTGTTTCCCGATATTTGAAAAGACAGTACCCAAAGAACGCCGCAGATAGCAAAGTGACAATCATCATCCCAATTCCAATGTATCGCAAGCCTCCCAATTCGTTGAGTTCCTGCGGGGGGGTAACTTTCAAAAAGACGTCGAACGTGGCATCGCGACTGTAGTCGTCACAAGACCGAATGCCTTCCTCTCCTTGCACACTGCGGCCAAGGATTCCGAACGACACGGTACCAAGAGCCGTGCCCGACCGTATACTCTTGTCGCCAACCACAAAGTCGAGCGCCAAGCTGCTTCCGGACGGCAACGCTGTTGTCGGACCACCCACGACATATCGTTCCGATAACTCTCCTTCTTCGATGAACTTGAGCCATGACGGGATGGCCTTTGGGACAACCGAGAAATTGAACAACTCTCGATTAACTAGCAAAATCCGACCACGCAGGACATCCTCAAAGATGGACGGATCGGTGGAGTTGGATGTCGCATTGTAGACGCTGGATGCTTTGGAATCCTCGGAAGGAATGATGCCGCCATCGCCACTCTGTTGGCCTTCAAATTCCAAGCTCGCGTCCGAGAACTCCACGTAACTTGAATCGGGACACGCAAAACAAGCTCCTCGTCGTTCCGACCAGTAGTTGTTGACGGGACAATTCTCCTTGGTCTGCCCCAGGTCCAAGACTTCAAAACTCTCAGTGTTGTTGGCTAGTCGTCCCTGAATCGCACCATCATATGGACCATCCAGCTGGCCCAGAAATTCCCCCACGGCATTCTGGACCAATGCATCTCCAATAGTGCCTGGCACTTCACCTTCCATTGTGTAATTCCCATTGGCACCCAAGAAGTCGGGATAAGGATCGTAGGCGCTGCAAAGATAACTGTCTGTTGGTTGGTTGGCAATGAAACATGAGGTGTTAGAGATCCGATCCCCAAACTAGCATCAACCGCACCGCAACAGCGTTCTGCCCAAGCAACTCATCGTACCAGTCGCAAATTTGTACATTCCCAAGCGATCGATCGGCAACCATTCCTTCACGTCACGATTCCATACATCAATGGAGAGAATCCGTGTAGTTCCTCGTGGAATATCGGTATTGTAGACAATATTCATCCCTGAAATCTGCAGCAATCGATCCCCATCGTTGGTATCATACCCCTCAAAGGTCGAGATGGAGATGGAATAATCCATCATGCGAAAGAGGCTCAGTCCACTCATGATACCCGTGCAAATACTATTGGGGAAGGGCTGACCAAAGGAACGAACAAAAAAGCAAGCAAGCAAGCATTGATTGAGATTGACGACACGAACGCTGCAACCAAACAGTTAGTTAACAATAATAATAATAAAACTCCACATACATACCAGCGATGCCCAGATATTGCTAACACGAACCGGCCCCGCAGGCCACCCACTCCCCCGCAACCCTCCCGAAGTGACAAAGGCCACGTCGGCATGTGCCTTCCAACGAAGCGCATCCGTGAACAGATTTCCAACCTCGCACTCGCCTACGGTGCCACCATAACATACGGTACCGACGATCGACGAGAAGGCAGTGAATATATCATAGAAACCATGACCAGAGAGAAATCGTGAGAATTGGATTTTGGGCATCCGGAACGAACCAACAAGTAGTCAGTAATGCATTTTAAAAAAATGTACAGTAAGTACTCACCCCCTTGACACCGTCGATATTCTCCCTCTCGTGCCACTGGAAATGCGGTGGAGTATCCCACTTGTGGATCATTTTGAATGGCGGAATCGGCCTGTTGTCGTAGAAATCGAATATGATTGGCATACGTGTCATCCTTGTATTCCGGCGGGACAACTTCCATATCCTCTTGAATAAGTGTGACATTTAGCAGAATGGGTGGCAACGTGGTCCAATCGAGTACCAGTTGATGTTGATAGTAAATGTCATCTTTGCGTCCAAAACTATGAATCCAGACGGGTTTGGATGGTTGTCGTATTATTGTTGTCGTAGTAGTATTAGTGATGCCTCCCTCGGTTCTTGTGCTGTTGTGGTTGTTGCCAATGGGAACGTGTACCAGCATGGGTGTTGGATACAGATCGACGGCTACAGTACCACACGATGAAAGAGAAGAAAGTGAGCAAGGCAAACAAGCAGATTTATTCTTGTGAAAGCTCGTCGGTCGGTATCTAACGTATGTAACGCACCATTCTTGTCGACATCAATAATGAGGTAAGGCGGATGTGGATGTTTCATGACTCCTTCGATGAATGCTGCAAATTTTCCCGTTTGTCCATCGTCAAACACCACCACGGGAATCCAACACTGCGGATCATTGCTATTGCTACTACTGCTGGAAGTATCCCCATTCATGTAAACGTCTTGATAGGATTCAAAGAGTGCCTGTCGTGCGTCTTCTGTCACCGTAAGACACCCCAGTTCTCGATTGCGATCGGCAATGGTATAAAGGGCTCCCCAGGCGGATGCGACTTGATTGTGATTGAGCGGTTCTCCACTATTGGCAATACTGAGGAGTGCCATGCCCGTGTCATGATCAAAATGAATGTATTCGTGATAATCGAGTGCCCAACTGTTACTGGGTGGAACAACGACATTGGTGAGCAAGAGTGGGAATTGTCGCGATTGCAGATACGATAAATCGCGTTGACTGCCAAATTCATCTCGTTGATTTTGCAAGAGCAACGAGGGGGTACTCATGAGTAGTTTCCATCCCAGCATGCCTTGTAGAATGAGCCGGTTGACGCTCCAGCCTAAGATAAGATATGATAGAGATAAGATAGATAGATAGATAGGTCAGGCGAGTGAGGTCAAGTCAGGCGATCTCAGTAGCTAGCTAGATAGCCAATGCTAGCTAGCTACTCTAGCCCACAGTAAAGTAATTACGGTACTCACCCAATGGATGGACTTGTACAAACTGGGATTGTTTTTCAAACTTGGGAAACACCAAGGTAGGTTGATCTTTAGCCCAATGCCGTACAAACGCCCCCACCGCGGCAACTCCAGCTTGACAAGAGTCATCGTCCACCTCATAGCAATCGTCAAGGTTGCCACTGAGCAGTGTAGCTTCGGTTGCGACGAGATTGACCACGCTCCTCATCGTGGAAATGGAAACCAGCGGAGCTGCTGAAGTCCAGTAGGGATTCGCTTCCGAGTTGTTGAGCAACTCGTCTTCTTCTTGTTCTTGTTTGTCAATGATGACAAAGGTTGTCTGCTTGGTCAGGCTGTCCGTATTGGCTGTAGTAGTAGAAGTAGTACTACTAGTAGTAGAAGTCGTTCGTCTTTCGCTAGCTGCGTCGTCGCCGTGGGTGTAAATGGGAATCGAATCGTCAGTCTCTTCTCGAACGCTACTAGTAGTAGTAGTAGAAGCTGTGGTGCTGTGACTACTGGTGCGTCTGCTACTGCTAGAAGTCGCTGTTGCTTTTGTTGTTGCTGTTGTAGTGCTCATGATCGTTGTCATGGCTGTGATGAGTGATGAGCGGAAGTACTACTAACTGGTACTCTAGTCAGTCCATCAATGGTTACATTCAATCTATGCATACTTGCTTCCATGGGTCAATCGGGGTGTGAGAGGTGTGAGCGCTTTGCCTTTGCCTCCGTATTCGATTTTAGACTTTAGACTTTGCGAAGCCGCTCGCAAAAAGGTATGAAATTCCCTCTAAGATTTAACCACCATTGAAGGATACAATAAAGTTACGACGATATGCTCGCAATCAATAAGTAGCAAGTTTGACCAAACACGGATTGGTACACTAAAGCATTACAGATGCATAGTTGATAATTAAATCAACGTGATCTTCTAAAGTAGTGTGACAATGTGACAATACGAGTAATAATTCGTCGGAGGGCACTGTGGGATTAGTTGAAAAGGTCAAACATGCAATCTCCTTTAAATCCTTTGACTTTGCTGCAGTCAATCACGCCTTTTTACAGTCGTATGGTATATGGTAACACTTGACAGCTCACTTGACTTAGCCAGTAGTGGTATCATAGTAACCGGCATGTACAGCACACTAGTACATCGTACCAGCAAGCCACAGCTTCGTTAGACTAGTTCACTCTTTTATCTTTTATTGCCACTGTAGCTATGATACCTAAAGCCGTGGTTGTCAGCGTAGGTGCAATGGAAATCCAATCGTCGGTCTCTGGCGCCATGGCGAAGTCTACACCAAGTGAAGTTGTGGTAAGATCACTTCTACTACCGGCACCGATACGGTAGCTAGCTAGTTATAGCTTTCCTTTCTCAGGTCAAGCACTCCCGATCGGTTCGGGCAAATGTGTGTGTGTGTGCTTTTCGATTTCGTTGCGTTCTGCCCGGAGAGTGACAAGTCACTCAGGAGATTCATTCTCAAAACCACTGACAGCCATCGCGACGCCGTGCCTGGCGCCAAGGAGGAGAGTGACAGTCCAGTCTCTTTGGGAGATTCTCCAAACCATGACAGCTGTTGAAGACCTCAATGAAGTGTCACTGCGCACTGGTGACATGAGTTGCTTCGGTCTTTATTCTCGGAAGTTGGCAGATGCCCCACTAATAATGACTCTCATTACGCAAGTGGTTTCTCATGACAACCAAAAAGCTATGAGGCGCACACAAATCAAAAGAGACAAAGAGACAAAGAGACAAAACACAACTGACTTTGACATCTCACGAGATAATAGAATCGGTAATGAAGGATTTATTCACAGCTTTATCCATTTTTATAGTGTATTTCCTCAAATGCATTCCAATCACATCCAGTTGGCTCCAGGTTAACGTTGCTTCGGTCATTATTTTCGGAGTCCAGGTGGCAGATGCAGAGAAAGCCAGTAATGACTCTCAGTGACGCAAGTGGAATCTTATGCGACGATGAAAGCGCCCACCATGGACCGGCACAAATCAGAAGAAGAGCCAAAGAGACAGACATAACTACAACTTTGTTGATCGTTTTGTTACTAAGAACTATTGAAAGGTCAAGGGAGTCCTTTTGAAGATGAAGGAATCCAGTACCACCGGTAAGAACCAAAAGGAAGAGAAGCCCCTCCCTGCAGTGGATGAACTTGACCCAGCAGTTAGAGATAGTCTCTTGAAGAGAGCGGAGGCCGAAGCGGCTCAATTCCAAGTGGAGGAATTGGCATCACATGCCACTAACACTAACGCAAAGCCAGGCCATCGAGAAGAAGACGCTGTCGCCAAACTGAAGAAGGGAGAAGATTCTGTTCGTACCCGTAGCACAGAATCGGATGACCCCCACGGAACAGAGGGAGACATGGACACTGTCGTTTTGGATATTCTTACCAATAGGCCGGATTTGGAATTCGCCCAGCTTAAAAAGGATAAAGAAGTTGCCATCACCAGAGATTTGAAAGTGAAACAAGCCAACCAAGATCTTCTCAGTCAAGAAACAAGTGAGTCCAGAGAAGAAGAACTCATGGAAATTGTGGCAGAACAGGCAAGTTTGGCAGTCGCCGAACGTCTCAGTGCAAAAGAAGATCTCCATAAAGAAAAACCAAGTACTGCTAGCACCCAACTCATGCAGCTGGTAGTGGAAATCACGGAAGCTTCCAAACTGGAAAAATTTGCCAATGCAGCCAATGTCCACACAAATGATAATGATGTTCCATCCAACGCACAAAATGCTGCTCTTGTCACGGAACAACAAGATGGTGTACCGGAGGCCGTCCCACAACCTGCCTTGCACCGAACAACCCAGATGCATCCACAATCTCAGCCAGGTGCATTCATGGGTGCACCAGGAGGACAGATGCAACGAAACCCCAATTTAAACTATGGCCTTCTTGGTGCTTCTTCGGGCACTGATAGCGGTCCAGAAGATTCGAGTGTTGGTACCGCAGTACAGATATTGTCAAATGAAGGGTTGGTAAAAGCTGATGCCGTAGAGGATGATACAGCCCATTTGATGCATGCCAATCTTGTTGATCTTGAAGCCGCCCAGCATCGAGAACTCCAAAGGAAGCAGCAACAGACAACTTTCATTGCAGCAATTCTATGGTTGTTGCTGGTTGCTGCACTTATTGTGGGCTTCGTCTTGAGAACCCAAAAGAACAAGGAACCAGAGGTGGTTGTCCTCGAGGCTACTGTGGCTCCAACTGTTTATGGCTCCATGGAACCCTCTGAAGTTCCATCCTCTGCCCCCACTGGAGCTCTGGACATGCTATTGGATACCCTACCAGACTATACTCTGGCCAGTATCAACAATGGCAGTGAGACTCCCCAGTGGAGAGCATGGAACTGGCTAGGTACTCACCAAAACATCACCTTTCTTCCAGAATGGAGAAAGACACAGTTGTTTGCTCTTGCTACTTTCTTTTACTCCTTTGAGGGAGACAATTGGTATAAGCCTGTTCGGGATAGGTGGATGGATGATACTGTGGAAGAGTGCGACTGGTTCTCCAGTGGGTTTGGATATTTTTGGGATGGAAATTACCACGATTTCCAAGAACAAGGTATCACAACTATACCTTCCTGCAACAGCCAAGGACAATATATATCTCTGTATCTGCAAGACCTGAAACTCTCTGGTTATTCCCCGTCATTGCCACCTGAGATTGCGCTCTTAACTTCCTTGTCTCAAATGTTTTTTTCAACCTTGGGGAGCAATGCCATTGCTGGGCCAATTTCCTCTCTGTTATCGACAGGACTTTATGAGTTGACTGCATTGACTGAACTGACTTTGGTGGGCATTGGATTCACTGGCAATCTTCCCTCTGAGATATTCCTGTTGACTAATTTGGAGTGGTTTGACTTGGGATACAATGAATTATCAGGCCAAATTCCTTCTGAGCTTGGGCTCATGACCTCGTTGGATGTTCTTTTGCTTCAATGGAATCAATTGTCCGGTCCACTGCCTTCTGAGGTTGGAAAGTTGACTGCTTTGGAGTGGTTTGACTTGGAATACAACGAATTGTCAGGCCAAATTCCTTCTGAACTTGGGCTCATAACCTCACTGGGAGGGCTCCTCCTCACTGAGAATCAGTTGTCGGGTCCAGTTCTATCAGAACTTGGACTCCTGACCTCACTAACCCAACTTTTCCTATCTCGCAATCAGCTGAGCAGTCCAATTCCTTCTGAGCTTGGGCTCATGGCCTCAATAAAACAGCTTTTCCTATCTCACAATCTGCTGACGGGTCAAGTTCCTTCTGAGTTTGGCCTTTTGACAGCTTTGACTGAGCTGAGCTTGAATCAAAATGGTTTGACTGGTCAAATTGCTTCAGAATTTGGTCAACTGACCTCATTGGGAGCGCTTGATCTTTATGGCAACCAGTTTGCCAGCACTCTCCCAACTGAAATTGGCATAATGACATCTTTGACATCCATGGCTCTTCACAACAATAGCCTGACAGGAACACTCCCTAGCCAACTGAATGCTTCCATGGGGTTGAAACTGTATGGGAACCAGTTCTCGGGAACTGTCCCCGGGCATCTTTGTTCATTTCTCTGGTGTGACTGTTCAACAAATGAAACTCCTCCTGTTTCCACTTGTGCTAACCTCAAAGAAGCTCCACCGGATTGGCCTGGACGATTTCCAAGCTCAAGTGCTGATGTTGTGCTGAACATCCAAACTGATAATGGACCAGACCAAACATCATGGTTTGGCAGAAGGAAACCAATGTGACTGGTATTTGGACACACTGGAATCAGGTGTCCACTGGGATAAAGAATTATCTATACTCCTCTCTCTTCTCAGTCAGCCCCAACAACAGCTACAATTTGATTGTATGGGACAGTTGGGGTAACGGTATGTCCTCTGGTTGGATCGCTCTGACAGCCACCAACCAAACAGTGTTGTATTCTTTTGAAGCTCCGGAGAACTTGAGGCTGAGGTTCTCTGAAATCACCATTGATGTTTTGGTTGGAGCAGACGGATCTTTTGATATCACCAATTCTACAACCTTTTGATTCTATGATACGTATTTCTATACTTACATGACTTCAAAGTTACATTGTGCATTTACTTTGAATTTCTATTTGAGAGAGCCACCAAAGTTTCTAGCTAGGTAGGTCGCTAGTCATCAAGGTGTCTCCCTGGATGGATCAGACATCGTAGCTAGCTAGGTAGTACATTATTGGCCAATCAATCACATTTTAGTCTATCCATAATAAGGGTTGGGCGTACGTCAGGCTGTCAACATTATCCGGTTAAGGTGCATTTTGGGCTATCTATAAGTAAAGGGCTAAGGCTAAATAGTGTGACACACACACACACACACATCAAATACACACCTATACACATACACCCACACACCCACCCACACCCACACACATCCAGCCCATCGAGGTGTTGGATTTATGGCTTAGTTTAGCTTGGTTTTGGTCTATATCTTACCAGCGCCTATGTGTCTATTTTTAAAATCACCGCAACAGGGTACCCTTGCTTTTTCTCACAGCATACCGGCTTGTATCTTTTGCCATCCCCAGCTTGCTCCACTGATGAAGCAAACAGCAAAATTCTTAAGCTCAGAACTTGGAAATCTGCAAGCAATGGTATACCCCATAGATAAACATCCAATGGTAGATGAACTCATCGTAGATGAACTCCTAGTAGTATCTGCACACATCTCACACAACATCCCACATCCCACACAGCACTCACGTCACACACACATCCACTCCATGGTGGTACCATACTGGATAACGGTTCAGTAGAGTATTGATTACATGTGCCACCGCAGGATATAATATCTTTGCTTTTCTCACAGTCTACCGGGTCCCTTGCTCTTTCTCATAACCCGTCTGGCTTGTATCTTTACCATTTTGGCTTGCTACACTCTGATGAAGCCAACAGTGTAATTTCAGGAGTGCAGAATTTTGAAAACACAAGCAATGGCACCGGTGACCCTCTTTAGATAACAATCCACTTGTATAGATGTGGTTGCAAACACAAACAACTACTGGTAGCTACTAGTCTTTGTAGTGTGTACACTCAGCCCTGTTTTAAATCCAGTCAGCTGAAGTTGGTGCCGATTGATGTGTCCTGAGTTCCTAACTACTCATTGTCACATAAGCTTGCAATGCACCTTGCCATTAGCTATCTGTAGATCACAAGGACAGCTACATGTGGTTATAGAGGGGACCATGGGTGAAAATCGACAGCATCGGAGGGCACAGTGCACAGCCAGACTGGGACATGTGTGTAAGCAAAGGGGACCCGAGGCCAACTAACTGAAAAGGGGGAGAGGGATAAAGCTTGAAAGGTCTGGGCAGGGCCAGCCTAAGAGGACAGATTTGGAATCAATTAACTGCAGCATGATGATCACAACTATGTCCCTCGATCCCATCCTGCCGCATTATCCTTCGGAGCAGTCTCGATGGACAACAAGAAGCCCGTTCTTGGCGAACGTTTCGTTCGTTCAATCGTTCGCCCATGCATGGCGTCTGCTGAAGCTCAAACGCTTTGAGCAACGTTCACCGATGGAGCCCATAAGGCATGGTAACGGTATTATCTCCAGTCCAGACTGAAGCCACATTCAAGCCAACCACACTCAGCCAAGAGTGTGATCCCCTGCAGTCGTCATCGTCATCGTCATCGTCATCATCGTCGGGATCGTTGTACTCTGTATTCCTGCCTCCTGCCCTTGCTTTGAAACTCCACCATTGTGACCGGTACGAGGCTCGGAATCTCGGAATACTCCTGGCTTGGGCAGGCCTAGGACTTTGCTTTGCCTTGGGTGTTGTGTGAGAGGGTGGCCAGAGACTATGGCTATGCATTTTCAAGCTTACTCGGAAGAATAGAGCTACGGTCGGGTAGATGAGTACTGTAAAAAGTGTAGTCGAGATCAAATCATTCGCAGGACCATAGCCAACAGTACTGTACCATACCGGTACCTGGTACCGGTTCCGTAACATAAGCGTGCACAACCAAGAACAACAAACATCAAGGACAGAGGGTGTGGTGATATTCTCAGCTTGCCTTTCATTGGACGCAATGAAATGGCAAGCTGCTGTTTTGTGTGAGTGACTTCTTATCTACTAGTGCACTAGCTAGCGTAGCTAGCCCTTCTCTTCCTGTCCTGGAGCACATGCAGAACTTGGCATTTGGTGCCATTTCTGACAAATCTGGACTTGGTACTGGCTGATTGAATGATTCGATTCCGGTTGGAAGTCGAATCCTTCTTTACCGCATCTCGGAAGCCAACGGTCTTCAACGCGCCTCACAGTTACTATAATGATGCCCGAATGAATGATGCTCTAGCTAATAGTGGAACAGCCAAGCCAACATTATGGCAATGCTATCATCGTAGTCAATATTGGCGGTGTTCTAGTGCGTGTTTTCGACTTCCAGTGTTGTTTTGAGTGCTGAGAGAGGGTTCACGAGTGTTTTGTTTGTTGCTTGTAGATCTACGATAATTTGCTTGTCGTTGATCTATACGTTGCAGGGATATGGACAGTCGCATCTTCAAAGAGTGTCTCGTCGATCGATCACAAGGACGCTAAGGACGCACGTGTCAGCATTATTGGTAGATTTGACAGCAGTGACAGCACCAACCAAGTGCTGAACTAGCTAGTATACACCTGGGTAAGCTCCAGTCAGTACCACCACGGCCACTGGTATTCAACTGATATTCCACTTGATTCTTCAATGATTCGATTTGATTCGATTCAGCGGTCGATCATCAAGGCTCAGCCATCTTCCATCATGGCATGGTGCAACGATCAAGCTGGAGTAAGTATTCAACTCTGCTAGACTAGCTAGAGCGCTAGTTTCTGCCTTGATTGACAACATTCATGCAAACAAATTCCATCATTGCATTCCATCATGCACTTTTCGATTTGTACAAACATTGCTCTTACCGGTACGGTATGTACGGCAATTCCCGTCAACGGTTGGACAAAGCTGCCAGTGGAAGGCAAATTAATATAACTAGATAGTGGGTTTAGGAGCGAGGGGAGCAAAGCAAGGCAGAGTATTAGCCAGTAGGGCACCGTGTGGTGGGGGAGCTGGAAGAGCGGCAGGAAGGTTGACCCATTGTGCCGGCACGATACCATAAAGCCGACCCTATCCGTACACGGTACATGATACACGTTACACGGTATTCTCATTTGCACGCCTGCTCCTCTTTTCAACGGTCAAGAAGGCTTCTTCAATGTTGAAGAAGGATGCTAGCCAATCAAATCACTCGAGCGAATACCGTGTTCATGAAATGCGGAATCTGCCTGAAAAGAAATGCCCATGTCCGGATCCACCCGTTGCATCAACCGTAAAAAACCAAACCAAACGAAACCATTATTAGTTCTCCTATTAGAAGGTGAACTACAGCGGAGTTGTTGTTCCAAGACCACTCAATCTTTGCTACTAATAATTAGAAGTTGCTTCCACCAGTCTCATTTGAGTATTAGCTAGACAGCTCTATAGCTAGCCAGCTGCTACTGTACCATGAAAGAAGCAACGAAATTAAACGATTCCTACTTGGGTCAATATTCCAATAGTCGCACCGACACTCTTACCAACCACAACGAGGTAGACGACCAAAAACCTGCAGCGGCCAAAGTGAGTGACAGCTATTACGCTGATGAAATCCATGGTGGCAATGAATCCCAGGAAGAGGTGGAAAAATTAGCCACCTATGCAATGGCCCCAAACCAAATCAAGATCTCAGCGATGAAAAAACAATGAAGCTACCAAAATGGAAATACTTGATAATGCAGCTGATGCCAACACAAATGATGACGTTCCATCCAATGCACAAACAGCTGCTGTTGTGAGGGAACATCAAGATAGTGGACCAGGAAATACGGTAGAGCACCCTGTCTTGCTCCGAAGAAACCAGATGCGTCCACAATCTCAGCCAGGTGCCTTCATGGGTGCACCAGGAGAAGATCTGCAACAAACCACCAACTTGAACTATCACCTCTTCGGTGCTAACGCGGGCGCTAATAGTGGACCAGCAGATTTCCGTGGTGGTACTACCCGGATATCTACAAGAAACGAAGGATTGGTACAGGCGAATGCCGTAGAGGATGATATGGTTGAATTGATGCATGCCAATCCTGTTGATCTGGAAGAAGCTGCCCAGCATCACGAACTCCGTAGGAAGCAGCAACAGAAGCAAAACTTTCTTTGTGGCAGTTCTTTGGTTGCTGCTGGTTGCTGCCATCATCGTGGGATTCGTGGTGGGAACACAAAAGAACAGGGAGCCAAAAGTGGTTGTCCTCGAGTCAACGGTGGCTCCAACAGCTTATGGCTCAATGGAACCCTCTGAAGTACCATCATCTGCCCCAACTGGAGCTCTGGACTTGCTACTGGATACTCTCCCTTACTACACTTTGGCCAGCATCAAAAATGGCAGTGAAACTCCGCAGTAGAGAGCATGGCGATGGCTTGCCAAACACCAAAATATCACCTTTCTTCCAGAATGGAGAAAGACATAGCTGTTTGCTCTTGCTACTTATTTCTATGCCTTTGAGGGAGAAAATTGGAATCCTCCCATAAAAGAGCGCTGGATGGATGATATTGTGGAAGAGTGCGACTGGTTCTCCAGCGGGGTTGGAATATTTTTAGGGGGGCGTACCATGAACGTCCAGCCTATGGTGGCACATTTACACTTCCCTGCAACAGCCAAGGACACTTCACATCTCTGGATCTTGGGGGCCTGGAACTTATGGACCATTTGCCTTCCATACCACCTGAGATTGCGCTCTTGACTTCCTTGTCTCTTGTCCACTTGTACAACAATGGCATCGCTGGACCAATTTCATCTCTTTCACCATCAGTGTTGCCATGGCGATCCAAATCTCCATGGCTCTCACTGGCTCTTCTACAAGCCCCTTTAGTCTACCTGACCACGATGCTCATGTGACCACCACGCGTGCTCACACTCAAGCATCTCGTGTGAAAGCGGCGTAACAGACCCTTGCCACCGGCTTGAAACTGTAAGTGGAAGGCCTAATCGTGTGATCGTGTGTGTGTGTGTGTGTGTGTGGGGGGGGGGTCAAAGAGGGAGATGCTCCGTTTAGCCATGGATATAGCTTCACGTCCAGGAAATATCGGCACATGCGGACCAGAGCCTCTTACTCCACGTATTCGCCGCTCCTCCAGCTGTCGCTGCGACCACTGGGGCATTGACCACCAGCCAATGTTGAGGAGACACGAAGTCAAGGTCTCGGTCCCTCGGGCACGAATGCGGTCTTGCAGGTGACGTAAACCATTCCTGGGATGCGGTTAGGGTTATTCCTGGGATGCGACGACGGTAATGAGCCAACCAGGAATCCGAGTTGCCCTTAGCCAGATCAGAAGGGCGGCCGCATTTGTTGTTACGACGGTACAACTTCTGGCTCTCATCGTCGGCCTTGCACTTGAGAGTCTCGATCGCGAGCGTTGCGTTTGAAGCTACGGCTCGGGCTTCGTTGTTGGACTTGTCCATTGCGGTGGTCGATTCCTGATCGAGGAGGTGTTTCAACTTCATGAGGGTAGGAAGGAACACACTGTCCTCGTCTATGTGCTCTTTCATCTGCTTGATCCAGCCAAAGATTTGAAGAATGGAAGGAGCTGCCAACAACGAGGTGGAGAATGAAGGTGCAGTTGAGATGATGGAAACACAAATTAGTAAACGAACTCCATTGCCCCCCACTTGCGATTGGCGCCCATGATGCTGCAATGCTCAAACCACTGTGTCAAACTGAAACCGGCAAGTTTTATGAAAGGATCAGAGTAGAGTGAAATGGCTACGAGAAGACGTGCGCCGAAGGTCCAAGTATGGTAACACTTCGCCAACCGACGACTTGACACAACTCCTGATGTCGAGTCCCACGATTACCCTCTTGATTGAGGAAGACATAAAAGCTAACAAATTAGCATACGCTAGCTCGAGGCCGGGACCCTTTCCATACACTCTCAGGAGCGTTCCTCAATCGTGGGTGAGCTTTAGTCAGTGACTTAGCTGGCTACCGGTAGCCTACAGGTTCGATACAAAGCTAGGTTCTTTGGCAATAATAGTCCAACCCCCATACTCAATCATGGATGCATTGGATCTTCCGTAGTATCAATGTCCTCTCGCATGCTCGCCGACATGTTACGAACTCGGACTGGGTTGATTGCAGCTCTTGAAGATACAGCGCCAACTCCATTGGTAGATTCAAAGCTGGTGGGGAACCCCGATACAGCCATGCTCTGTTGACGGTCACCAGATATATGATTACTTTGGTGGTTTGTCCCACCAGGAGGTTGTTTCTTGAGCTCCATGACACCCTTCACTAGTGGAACAAATATGAAGAGAAGCATACTAGCTCCCAGTGCAGCAATGAGACCAACCTCGATAAAAAAACGTGCCGTAAAGTTCTCTTGATCCACCAGAAACAAGGTCGGCCCCCCCAACAACATAACTTGGATCCACGTAAACAATGCTAGCCCAAGATTCTTTCCTTCGCTGAATTCATCACTTATATCCCTTGCCTTGTATGCTTGATAGCAAGCCATGAGAAGGGCAGTCAGCAATAGAAGCCCAATCAGCCCCATGAAAACATAACCAATGCCATTGGACGAACATGACCCGTAAGTCTTCCACGGTTCGTCCTCGACAGGTCGTCTTGTCCACTGCCAAACAAAAGCACGGTGTACGTAGTTTTAGACAAATTTGCAGGCCGAGCACGAACCCGTTCGAACGACAGAAAAGCACCACCTACCTGCAACGGATCCACCAAAGTCCATGTTAGAAGCAGAGCCACATTGGCGGTGAACAGAACCAAAAAAGGGCCCATGACATCCTTCTCGGTTACCATCAAACGCTCAAAACGCGGGGCATGCAGAAGTCGGTTAATTCGCCTATTGGTTTGTACAAATAAAAGAAAGTGAGAGTTGGAGTTCCTGGATATTTCTTTTGCTCTGGATACCACACACAATTTGTGTACCTACCAAAGCTTTGAGAACAGAACCGAGAACAGGATGGTGCACCCAATCGAAAAAAGCCAAGGTTGCGATATACACATCTGACTGCATTGTTCGGGAGAAATAATGCCATCATCAAAGCTCAACGGAAGAATCGTACTGCTCATAATGAATATTCCCAGGCAAATCGCCATCAGGAAGACAGGTTGCATCGTCTTGAGAATCCTCGTCTCTCGATAAACGAATACAAACAAAGCAAAACCAACAGAAGTTGCCATCACAATGGCCATGAGAGCCAGTCCCATAAAGCGAATGTCCCCAAGATGGTTCAATTCTTCTTGTGGCAGAATGGTCAAGGCGGCGTCAAACGTTACATCCTCACCAAATTCATCGCATCGGGTCATTCCCGGATCCGTATTGATGGCGTCATCGGCAAGCACACGAACGGCCACCGTCCCCACCACGGTGCCAACCATCCCCGTTACTTTGGAAGGCGTGGCAATGAGGTTTAGGGCAAGTCTTGCGCCGGACTCGAGCAGGTAATTTTGACCTTCTGCAATAATGACACCTTGGATTGAGACGCCGTTTTCGGATACTGGAACCATTTGTAACCACGAAGGAATCAGTTTGGGTATCACCGTAAAGTTGGATAGCTCTCTGTTTACGAGTAGTATGCGGGCAACCAAGCCACTGTCGTCCTGGTCTGCGTTGGGTACACTGGTGGTGTTGTCGTTTTCCGACATAGCACGAAGCTCATTGTCGACAGCTTCCAGACTGATGGCCCGTCCCAACTGATACTTGAATTGCACCAACTCGTCCGAAAAGGCCACATGTCTCGCATCAGGACATGGCATGCAGAGTCGATGGTTCATGGAATAGAACTCGGACGCCCCACAATCTTCCTCTAACTCCAAAAAGTCCAAAATTGCCTCTTCCGAAGCCACACCAGTGATGCGACCTTCGAGGGTGGTATTGTAAGGCTGCGAGAGGTTCTCCAGATAATCTCGCACGGCATCCTGGACCAACTTTTCTCCAATCGTCCCACCCATTTCACCCTGGATGCTAAATGATCCGTCGGTTCCAGTTAACATTGGGTACGGCTGATATTCACCGCATTCGTAGCTGCTGGAAGCAAACGTGTAGAGACGAGTCGGAGACAACGACTTCCACTTGCCTTGTTTTTGGTTCCAGACGTCCACGGCCAACAATCGCGAGGATCCATACGGTAGCTTGTTATTGTACGTGATCTTCAATCCCGCCACCTGCAGCAACCGAGCTGCTTGATCCGATTGATGCTTTTCAAATGTTGCCGTTCGTATCGAGTATTCCAAAATGTTAAACAAGGACACTCCACTCATGGTCCCGGTGCAGATTGTGTTGGGAAATGGAAGCATCCCCCAAATCTCCGACAGATGCACGGGGCCTGTTCAAAAAAAAAGCCCGAAACATAAGAAGACATCCGATGAAATGACCCTCTTGAAAAACATATATTTATTGCTTGACGAACCTGCTTCCCATCCGTTCCCGCGGAGTCCTCCACTGGCCAAGAAAGCAATATCGGTTTGTGCCTCCCATTGCATGGCGTTGGCAAACAGATTCCCCGCCTCGCATTCTCCTAAAATGCAATGGCAAAGGCATGTGACATGATATTATGAGACCCCAAGGAATCAAAGAGCATCGGCAAAGCAAAAATATCTTATAAGCAAACTCACCCCCGAGACATCGAATGTAGGGTCCCACCCGTTGTGTGGGCATTGCCAATGCCGTTCCTACCACCACATCATGTTCTATGGCTTCATTGGCAAATTGTCGTAACAATCGAATCTGATTCTGGTACAAGGTATCCTTCTTGTATTCTTCGGGCAAATCGGCAATACTCTCCACAAACACAGCACTGACATTGGTCACGACGGGTGGTTGAGCGGTCGTGTTGATGGTAATTTGATGCTGCCAGTACGTTTCCGAGTTGGTGATGTACGAGTGGAGCCATACATCCCGTTTTTCGTGGGCTGTGGAATTGAGCCGTACGGGTGTCGAGTAATCGTCCACCTCATTGCCACCCGCATCGAGAATGACAGCGGGTCGATTGGGCGCCTCGAGCATTTCCTCGACAAAATAGGCAAACCAATCCGAGGCGGTGTCGGTGTGATAGTAGAGAATGACGGGGACCCAACATTGGGGTCGTTGTTCCACCTTATGACTCGTCGTACTGGCAGTACCTTGTGCTCCTGCAGTAGTATGAGACGACGCATTGACTTGTCCAAACGCATGCACCATGGCAGAAGTACTGAGATCCAAATCGTAAATGGCCTCGTAAGACTGATACAAGGCTTCCCGTTCCGCTTCTGCCTGGTTTTCTTGTGCGGAAGCACCACTACAGTGCGGTCCAATCTGTTCATTCTCGTGTTGGATAAAGTTGAGTAATCCAATGGCCGATTCGACCTGATTGTAATTGTACACCTGAAACCGGTCGGCAATGACGAGGAGAGCAATTCCCGTCTTGTGATCAAACAGAGGGTTCTTGCCACTTGTGGTGTGGATTTGAAGGAATTCTGTGTCGGTGGTGGCATCATTGTGGGCAAAGGCATAGATAGGTTGGTATCGGTTGCTTGCTGTCAAGACCATGTCTCCAATCTCCAGGTCCGTCATCTTGGTCGGTACCGGTACTTGGTCCGGTTGTTGTGCCACGTGCACAGTGGCTTCCTTGGAAAAACAAGAGGAAGCGGGAGGAGCGGGTGTAGGAGGAGAAGGAACAGGGGCAGAGGAAGGAGCAGATGAAGGAACAGGAGTGCTGAGATTATTGCAACTACACGTGACGACCATGTTAAGGTTGTCCTGCCCCCCATATCGTATGGATACAGTTGTAGATGTCGTGTAGGAAATGGTGGTTCCACAATCATTTGTAGATGCCACAGCAGTATCACCAACAGATATAGCAAGTGCGATGGAGGTAGCAGAGGTGCAGGTAGCGACGCATTCAATATCCGTGGTTCCAGCTGGCGGCGAAAGGGTTGCAGTTTCTGGAACACTGCCGCTGAAGTTATCCTCAACATCCACGGTAAAGCAGACAGAAGCACTACAGGACGTGGCCATCAAGGCCATGGTAATAATGGTGAAGAGTGAAATGATCTTCATGGTGGGCGGCCTTTTTGAATTTACTTTGTTCTTGTGCTGGATGTGAAGGAGAGCATTGATTTTTGTGGGCTTGCGGAAGGATTGGGTATATATTGCAACAGGCAGCCAGAACTATCGCGCTCATGTGCCACTCTTGGCCACAGCGTGAAGTGCATTCTACTATGATATTACCACCCCCTTTTACTTCGATCTATGCATGACAATGATATGGGTGAAGTATCAAAAGCGGGTTCGGTGTCGCGCTCATGTGAAAGCGAGAAGTGAGTTTTGGATCTTTCTCGTAGACATTCAGGGTGAAGGCTACTATAAAATTCGATTGATTATTTGACTGAATCGACTGATTCGAATCAGTTGGGTATTCTCGTCTGTCCTACCAGTACAGTACTCCAGCTAGCTAGCTAGTAGCATAGCTACGACTGTGCCGACTGTGCCGCACGGTACGCTTACGTGCAACCCTTGTGCACCTTGATCCTCCCTGCCCCTCACTTTGCATCCCCTCCCTCTTTGGTTTTGCTGCTTCGTACGTTTTGAACTGCGTGCCAAGGCGTCGAGATGTTGCTGGCTCGTCCAAACGCCGGGACCGCAGCCCTGGTACTTGTATGGACGGGGATTCCCAATAACGCTTGCCTTGGTGGAGATGGTCAGGCAGGTCCCATGCCTTGTGGCTAGTACACGAGCTTGCTCAGCGAGTCTTTCATGGCCCCCACCATCCACCAAGACTCAAGATGGAATCAAAGAAAAACTGTAACCAACAACCGCAGATAGCCATAAATAATAAAAAAATGGAGCTTCATCCCATGTTCGTTGGGGTGCCACAGCCGCTACGCACGAGCAGTGAAGAAAAGCAACAACTGCGCACACCTCCCAGGCAGCGAGTTTGGCACACCAGCGTGCCACAGGGACGAGCCTGCCTCTACTAGTAGACTATCAGAATGGCTGGCTGTTTGTAAACGTTTTGCACGAAATACAGTATCGCTCCAGAGGCAGTGCATCCAATCAATGCCACAAAGTACCGTATGCAGTCACGGTGGATGGGATCATAGGACGCACCAAATCCAAACGATGGCTACCGTCCAGTGCAGGAGCGCGAATCTTATGATCTATCTTGCTTAGCAAGCACGCCCTGGATTTGTATGGAAACGAGCGATTTAATGTGTCAATACTATCCACTCAAAAAAGACAGCCAACGACACTGGGGCCAAAATATGTTTCTAGTTTTACGTACTGTAACGGATTCTTGGCGTGCCTTCTTCCAGATAGACTTGATTCCGACCGCAATGCCTCATCGATACGGTAGATCCAAAGGACTGCTCTCAGCCGAGCTACGAGGAGCTAAGATCGAGCTGCGACCCTTTGGGAACACGGAACGCCCAACTGCTGTCTCGCTGCTAGCTAGACGACCTAGTAGGACAGCGCTGACCAACAAAACGAAAGCCTGGCTAGCTAGTAGGAGCTTGATGATGTCGGAAGTGGATTCGATTAATCATTCGATTCGATTGTAATGATAAACAGGCTACTAGCTAGCTAGCTACCACCGCCAGCTTTTAGCATGACAGAGCAGCGAAAGGATCAAGTAAGTCTTGCTTGGGCTGGGAGACGGTTCACGAGGAAATGCTGCCGTGGAGCAAAAGCAAGGCGTGACAATGGTCTCCAGCTTCAGGGAGGAATTGGAGCATTGCCTTTGACATTCGGCACATAAAATCAGCAGAGGACGCCATTGTCGTAACTAACTGACCAGAGGCTTCCGTGCGACAAACTAACTAGCTATCTATCTACATATACTTTTCAAGTGTGCTGATTGATTGATGGATGCATAGTTTGTTGCGTTCTAGTAGTAATAAAACAGAGAAAGTACTATTGGTCGCAACGTCGCTCCTTCCATGCATGTAAATCTTGTCATGCTAGCTAGTCAAACTGTGACCAGACTCCACCCGCTAATTGAAAATGAGTCCACTGACTGCTGTTGTGTGTGTGTATACATCTAGTAGTGTGTCGAGAATCCCCATCATTGCAAGTCTACTCCTTTCGCTTCTTGAATTCTTCTCGTTCTTCGTCCGTAAGTGCACGCCACATTTCGCCCAGCTTCTTGCCCATCTGTCCAAACGTAATCTCGGGATTCTCCTCCTTGACTTGAGGACGATTCTCTCGCGAAAACAGCATGAAACCAGACAGAGGTTTCTTGCCGCCCTTGCCGGCTTTCTTGGCCTGAATTAAAATAATAATTTACAAAAGGTTAGGGTTCGGGTCAGACACATGCCGGCGAGAAAAAAAGATCCGACGAACGATGCTTCCTTCCTTGCTTGTCTCTCTACGCATTGCCGTCCTCTTCCACACTATCAACAACAACATGTCCTCATGATGGTCTTACCTTTTTGGGTTTGTAGTCGCCGTCGGCTTTCTTCGCCATGGTCAATCTTTTTCTTTCTTGGTGGAAGAGGGTAAGAGTTTGAGTTGGAGCTCAATAAAGAGAAGAACAAGAAAACAGAGCCTTGCTGCTTTCACGCGATTTCAATTGTGATGTGCTGCCACTGACTGCTGCCAGTTTGATTCCAAGGCAGCTGTCTGCCGAAGTGAACATTCTGTGTAGAAATGTACCAGGCTCTACAGGGCTTCTCGTTTCTCCGGTCCGGCCATCCCTCGTAGGTTTTGGTACAAACTGTACGTAACGAATCCAACCTTCCAGTAGGAGCATCCTCGTTGGCGGAAGCCGTCTTGACAGGCATTCAAAAAATTTAGCGCGGCACGCAAGATTGAATTTCCATTCAAATCAAAACCGCGGGAAACAGACATTCAGGTTCCCATCCAATCAATCACGAGGGAATGCGCAGACAGTAAAATAATAAGCCAAGTGAGTTGCTGGCTACCGGTACCATACCGGTACAGCACATACAGTACGAAGTCGCAAAGTATCCTCCCTCCAAGCTTCGTTTTTCTCCGGCCATGCAGCGGTACTAGATAGTATAACTAGCCAGCTAGTAGAAATTGATAGCTAGCTAGCTAGCAAGCAACTAGCTGCTGGTGTCAGCTGCTCGAGTTATGCTTGCACTGGCACGAGAAGAGTTCAGCCCATCGGATTCCCACACGTTTGCACCCACGATTTCATGCCATTCTCACTAACGCATGATGAACATACATAATGAGCGAGCGAAAGACTTGAGAGAGGGCCACTGCCATCTTCTTCGTGCACACTTACTTACTTGCCCGCACCCACCAGGAAGCACCAGTGGAAAGGAAAATGACGCCTGAAGAAAAGGCTCATGCAGAAGATATTTTGAAGTTGACCGGACTGCCACTACCACTGCCGTTGCCAGTACGGATATTATTCACATGGAAGAACACCAAGCAGCAGAAAACAGAAAGCCAGTAGTCAAAGATAAACAAGAAAACCAGAGAGATGCAGATAAAGAAAACGGGCACAGCATTACCAGCAATGTCAATAATGATTCAGCTACACGGCCCTTACCGGCATGGCAGCTTGCTTGCAAGAGAGAGCTCACTCCAGATATCGCATCCCCACACGTTTTCGCCCATGATGTGTCGCCGGGTTTGTTGTATTACTATTATAATGCATGGTGAACATCATGAGAAAAAGGCTTGACAGAAACTAGTCTATAATATGTGCATAGACACCGTCTTCCTGCATGCCCTCTGCACACTTGCCGATCAGCCTGCTATAGCAGTGGTCAACGCTTGAAATCCATATAATAGCTAGTCAGCTATAAAGCCCCATGCACTCGTTGTGCGAGGACAGGAGTCCAATCCACGCGTCGAGGATCCGTCAGTGGTGCTCTGACCTGCTATCCCTTTACAGGTGCCTAGCTACGTGTGTACGATACAGCCAGTACAGTACATTCCCTTGGACAAGTTTTTCTCGACTTTTGCAATCTATTCCTTCCAACATCGTGGTCATTGGCATCATGCATGGTGGGTATCGTTCATTGGCAGTCGTCGTGCCGTGTGGGCATGCAGTCAGCACTGTACTATGGTAGACCAAGGTGTACGTGGACATCGGCAGGACCTCCATTCTCGCAAGGGGCTGGAAGGCAAAACATTCGTTTCCTCTACCTCGATCTATGATAGATTCGTACCATTCCTCCAGACTATCTCGCTTGGGCATTGCCATGGGATACATGCATGGCTACAGTACTTTGTATACCGTAGTGCCTGGCGAGGCAAACTCTATCGATAGGTGGGCGGACTTGCGCGGAAATCTTCCTTTTAATCCTCGTTTTGTACATTTTAACTTCGTTTTACAAAAAACAAAACATCATTTTGCCAATGACGTCTGTCTTCGTCAGCGCACTCATCTTTCGTTTTGGCAGCGAAAGATCTTTTTGGAAGCTGTCGATCGTCAATCTTCTATCTGCGGATCCTCCTCATGCAATTCACATACGGGGGAAGGCATAGATTGATAGATAGCTATAGCTATGCACAGATAGCTAGCTAGTGAAAGAGATATCGATAGTCTGTTGGTCCGTGGAAGCACAGCACAGCACAGCACTGAAACCATAGAAAAATGCAGGATCAAGAAGTTCAAGACAGTGAAGCCGCCGGAAGCGTGGAGGGTGGCGGCCTAGCTCATGAAGTTTCCACTACTGCCGATACCGACACAACTACTGCCATGGAACAAACCACTGTTGCTACCGGTACCACTGGCATGCATGAGAGTGATACCCACGAGCTGAAAGCAGTGGAAAGGAAAATGACGCCCGAAGAAAAGGCTCACCGAGAAGAAATTTTGCGATTGACCGCGACTGCTGCTATTACCACTGCTGGTACCACTGCCGTTACTCATATGGAAGAACACGAAGCAGCAGAAGACCAAAAGCCAGTAGCCAAAGAAACACAAGAAAACCAGGGAGTTGCAGATGATGAAAACAGCCACAGCAATGTGGAAGATTCTGCTTACACGGCTCTTGCTGGCATGGCAGCTCGATTGGACAACCCCCACCAGAGTGGTCAGCTATCTTTCTTTCCGGACAACAACAAGAAAGACCCCAAAACAAAGGCTCCGAATGTACATACTACAGTCGATACTGCTTATTCTGCACTTTCCGCCATGGCACACCGGTGGGATAACCCACAAGAGAGCGGTCAGCTTTCGTTCTTTCCAGATACCTCACATGATCCGTCCAAACAGCAACACGATCCTAATCGTCTGGCTCTTTTACAACCCCACAACGAACACCAGCCAACGGCTGGTCACAATACTATTGGAGGGGAGACTCCTCTATTCGCGAGAGACGCTTCGGAGAATGAGAGAGTGCAAGGTATCCAGGTGATCATTCAGTCGCAGCCAGGCGCATTTGCCCAAGGACCCACATTTTCTTCCTCGGCTGTGGAGAATGACGGTGCCCTGCGTGAATCAACCGATCCCTTGCCACCCAGTGACGTTGTACCACCCAATAACAACGACGACGACCGTGGCAACGAGCACTTGGCAGTGGCAAATGCGGTGGAAGAAGATCCAGAGGAAGCAAGGCCTTCGGCAGACCCGGTGGATCTACTGCAGATTCAGGAACGAGAGCAAAAACAGCAGAGGCAGAGGCAGCTGTTGGTTCGTTTTTCGGTCGTTGTGCTGGTCGTGGCAGTCATTATGATTGTCCTCGGCTCGTGGGTCGTCCTCAAGCACAGCTTGTCTGAATCCATTACTAGACTTTGATTTTCTTTTTTAATGATTGTGGTCGTGGGCCCGGTGGTGGGCATTCAAACGAACAATAAGGAGCCAGAGGTAGTCGTCTTGTTGCCGCCGACAATAACCAACGCAACCACCATGGTCCATCTGAAGCACCATCCTCTCCCCCCACATCGGTTTACGAGCTGTTGCTGGAGAATCTGCCGGATTATTCCTTGGACAGCATCAACAATGGCAGTGACACTCCGCAGTGGAGAGCATGGGACTGGCTTGCCAGTCATCCAAATGTTCCATTTCTTCCAGAATGGAGAAAGACACAGCTATTTGCTCTGGCCACATTCTTCTATGCATTTGATGGAGAGAATTGGAACCATCTCATTATGGAGCGATGGATGATGAGACTGTGGACGAGTGTGACTGGTTTTCCAATGAATGTGGATTTTTCTCCCCTTCCACAGGAGGCTTTGTTCAACTTTCGGATCTGGGTGGGGCTCCATCGTCCGAGCGATGGGATGATGATGGTTCTTTTTGCTGCAATAGCCATGGGAAATTTACCTCCCTTGCGCTGGACTACCTTCAGCTTTCCGGTCGTTCCCCATTTATCCCTCCAGAGATTGCACTCTTGCCATTGCTGTCACTTGTTCACCTGGATGACTCTGAAATTCAAATGGCTTTGTCCGATATGCTGCCAAATCAGTTCTACACCATGACGTCCTTATCTGACTTACGGTTGGCCGATAATGAGTTGGCTGGGGAAATCCCTACAGAGCTTGGACAGCTTGCTGGTTTGAAATCGGCTGATTTGGGTAGAAATTTGTTGTCCGGACAAATCCCTTCCGATCTTGGACAACTGACTTCATTGGTGGAGATGTCTTTGGTTGGAAACGAGTTGACCGGGGAAATTCCTTCAGAGCTCGGGCATCTTACTTTGATGATGCGGTTGTCTTTGAACAATAATCAGTTGACAGGTCAAATTGCCTCCAACCTTGGCCAATTGACTGCTTTGGGTGATCTGCGGTTGCAGTATAATGAGCTTGCGGGGTCAATTCCTTCGATTATTGGACAGCTGACGTCATTGAATAACTTGGAGTTGCACTACAATGAACTATCGGGGCCTGTGCCATCTGAGCTTGGACAGCTTACTGCATTGTGGACTTTGGGATTGAAGGAAAACAAATTCATGTCTCAAATTCCTTCTGAGATTGGACAAATGAAGGCTTTGGCGTACTTATCATTTCGGAGAAGCCACTTGACCGGCCCAATTCCTTCGGAGCTCGGACAACTGACTCGTTTGACTGATTTATCAATGGAGAAAAATCAGTTGACTGGCCTGGTCCCATCAGAACTCGGATACATGACAGCTTTGACTTCATCTGTTTCCTTGTACACCAATGAGTTGACTGGCCCAGTCCCTTCAGAGTTTGGACTGCTCCCTGATTTGAAAAGGGTGAATTTGTGGGCTAACAAGTTGAAAGGGAGGATTCCTTCAGAGCTTGGCCATCTGACAGCTCTGAGTGGGCTGTCACTGTTTTCCAATGAATTCCAGGGTTCTATTCCTTCTGAGCTTGGACAAATGACTGCCCTGACCTCCTTGTCGTTGGATTTCAATCAGTTCTCTGGGCCCATACCATCAGAGCTTGGACGCATGACCTCACTGGAGGCTTTTTCCCTCGATGATAACGATCTGACTGGTCCAGTTCCTTCGGAGCTTGGGCTACTGACCTCATTGGAGAAACTCGAGCTTTCTGACAACCGTTTGACAGGCCGGATCCCTTTTGAGCTTTGGCTCCTGACCTCATTGTACACCCTTGACCTTTCGGGGAATCAGTTGAACGGATCCATTGTCTCTGCAATGGGGCATCTGACTGGTTTGTTTCGGGTTTGGTTGGGGCAAAATCAGCTAACTGGACAACTTCCTTCTGAACTTGGTCTGCTGACTGAATTGAAACGACTGCAGTTAAATGAAAACCACTTTCAGTTCACAATCCCATCCGAGCTGGGACAACTGACTTCTCTTACTTACTTGGGTCTGTATGGAAATCAGTTAACAGGGTGAATCCCTTCCGAACTTGGACAACTTACTCGACTGACTGACTTGTCCTTGCAAAGAAATCAATTATCTGGCCCAGTGCCATCAGAGCTTGGAATGTTGACAGCTTTGACTGCCTTGTGGTTGCATGAGAATCAACTATCTGGCCAAATTTCCGCCCAGCTTGGGCAACTGTCGGCTTTTGTCCGTCTTGGCTTTGAACAGAAATCGGCTGTCTGGTGAGATTCCCTCCAATTTGGGATTTCTAACTGCTTTGACAGAGTTGATGCTTTACGGGAATCAGTTTTCTGGTTTAATTCCCTCTGAGTTTGGACAGCTGGTGATTCTGGAAGGCTTGTATTTGCATGCAAATCAGTTATCTTTCCAACTTCCATCAGAGCTTGGAAGATTAGGAGCATTGACAGCCTTGCTACTGCACACAAATGATCTCTCTGGGCAAATTCCATCCGAGATTGCACTCATGACTGGCTTGACATGGGGCTTGTCATTCTTTGACAATCAGCTCACTGGTAATATTCCTTCCGAGCTCGGACAGCTCACTGGTCTAAACAATGGATTGTGGTTGCATGGGAATCAGTTCTACGGTCAGATTCCATCGGAGTTTGGCCAGCTCACTTCCTTGGCTGAGTTGAGGTTGTCTGGGAATCAGTTCACTGGACCAGTGCCATCGGAGCTTGGACAATTGACAAATTTGGATTTCCTGGATCTGAGTGGCAGCAACGGCTTGTCTGGTAGCATCCCAGAGGATCTATGCTCCTTGCAGAATGTGTCTTGTACCTATGCGTTTTATCTGGGGGACCTTGCTGGTTGGGCGACTCTTCCCTGTTTTCTTGGCTTTGACTGCTCTCCCAGACTGTGTGGGTGTGACTGTGCCTGTTGAAAACCTGAGGTTGTAGTCCAATAATGTGGTTAGCGGCTGTACATGTATTAGGAAAGAAAATCAAATAAATAACTAAATAGATGGATAAGGAGCGATGGGGGCTAAAGCTTGGCAGACTAGGACAACGGTGGTCGGAAAATCACTGGGATAGGGCCGGAGGGGGGAGGAAGAGAGGGGTCAAAGGAGGAATCGAATCATAGGGGAAGTCCAGGGGGAGCAGAAGGGGGGGAATTGGCGGAAGAGGTCAATTGCACCAGAGGCAACAGCAGCAGCTCATTGTGGCCACAGGGACCCGAGCCCGCACGCAAAGGCGATTAGGGAAGTGCTGCGAATTTTACGGCTGCCGTGGAATTAACCTTTTCCACGCCGTGAATCCACAAAGACTACAAGAAATCCTTCTTTGGATGATGTAGCTAGCAGTAGTTCGTCTGGCAGTTACTTGATAGCAGCAAGCTAGGCAGCAGTAGATAACTTCCCTACTAGCTAGCCAATAGTGCTCTAAAATACAATAATACTAAGCCAGCGGAGCTGTGTAACATCGGCAGAAAGGTTTCAGTGCAGAAGCAGATACTCGTATTAGCTAGCTAGCTGGAAGCAGATACCTGTAGTGCTTAGCTAGTGCTTAACTTGCACTTAGCTAGCTAATAGAAGCAGACCCCCCTAGCTAGAAGCAGATTCGCATAGCAAGCTAGAAGCAGATACCCCTAGCTAGCTAGAATACTAGTTATATAGCTTTCGCTAGCTTTAGAGTTTTTCCTGGTAGAAGCAGATCCCCCTACTAGGATGCATGTGAATAGCTTTAGCTGGTTTAAAACACCATCCTAGGATAGAGTGATCTGGGCTTTACGATCGACCGTTTCGCGGAATATTCTCTTCAGGGCTGTATATTGAATATAGTAGATGTAAAGAGGGGAATCGACAGAACACATGTTGCTGAGTAAGCCAAAAAAATCTCATCTTCATAGTGTACTTATTGGTGGAGTTACGGGCGGTTGAAAATATACACCCGACGGTTATCGAATTCTTTTCACTGCATGTTAAGACCGAATGATGTCAGTCGTGCTCTAGTACTGAATCTACGTAGGATCCTACGTACGCACCTCTATCGAGTGAAATATCGAGTGAAATATCCAGTGAAACTCCGTGCCGCACCTCTATCGAGTGTCGGCCGTATTTTTCGCACGATACTCGCACCTCTATCGTCGCTCCGGTTCAGGTGCTTCGCACATGCATAAAAGCACCTCTATCGAAGCACCTTTATCGACACTCCTTCTTCCGTACTGCATCTATCGCTCGTCTACCGTCCAGGCTATCGACACTCGTTCCTCTCAAGATGGCCGTTTCCGACAGCAGTGACGATGGCATTGACGAAGGCATTGACGAAGAAGACGATGGCATTGAGGACGAGGACGGATGCATTGACGAAGAGGATTACGAAGAGGATTACGACCATGATAGGGACTTCCAGATCAAGTACGTTGATCATTACAAGCAGGTTGCCGTAACGGACTTCTTCAAAAAGAAAAGGAGCCGTGGTCGTCCCAAGAAAAGGCCGACAGTTGCAGGCGAGAAAGTGTTTGTGACGAAAAAGAGAGGCCCTGATCGGCCAAAGGGATCCACCAAATTCAAAACCGCTACGGAGAAAGAGAAAGCAGCCAGGAAGAAGAAGATACCCGCAGCCAAGAAGGCTCCTC